AGCAGAAGGGGCATGCGGGAAGTCTCAGGACTGGCTGGTAGAACTGTGTTTCTCCACTTCCAGGCAGGTGTACGATGGCCCAGAATGGCTCCCCTACACTCAGCACACTTCTGGGCTCCACTCCACCTTCCCAGCAGGAGAATGGATGTGAGGAATATACAGGCTACCCTGGGAAAGACAGAATGAGAAAGTGACTCTGCCACCCCCCTGCAAATATAATCCCACAAAACTGAGCCACACAGAAAGTGTCCCCTGCTCCAAGGAAGTCTCTATGACATAGTTTCTCCTCAGGTTCATCTCCCCGTGAGTAAACAGCAGCAGACAGCAGGGTTGGCAGCCACTTGTTCTGATCTCACTGGGATACCAGGAGATGCATAAACCATTAGTCCCAGCTCCGTTCAGGGTTCAAATGGCCTCTGCCCCCAAGCTCTTCCAGAAATAGTCACCTATGTGTGATACTTGAAGTTGAGGGAGGCAAGTTGTGGGGGAGGGGAGGCAGGTGGAGCACAGCAGGAAATACCCTGCATCCCTAAACTGGGTCTTGGAGCCCCCAACCCTCACCCTGTATGACCTGTAAAATTGGGAGGTGGTGTTATGTGGCTGCCAGTCCTGACTAATGGGAATGGCCTGGAAGCAACAAGGACTCTTAGCACGTCAGCAAAGCAGCAGCGGCAGCTTGCCAGTTTCTTCACCAGCCCACAGGATCGGAGGCTGCCATGCCTTGCACTGTGTGCTAGCTCACCAGCTGTCAGGAGACACCAACAATTCCCACTTCCTAAGTTAGCCAATGGCAACACTGACAAGCACCATAGTGGCTTCAAATTAAGGACAGCAATGGGAGGTGGTCAGAAACTTCTGGCTGTCCCCCTTAAGCTATCTGTCTCCCTCTGCTTCTATAACAGAAAACTAGCTGTAGCCTGGCACATGGCAGCCCCAAATAAGGACTGTTTCAAAGTCTCCCTGGCAGCAAGGCACGGTCCTGTCATGTAGATATGAAAGTCAGCTCTCCTGGGCCAGGCAGGTAAGGGAAGTGCTATAAATGAGGAAAAGCAGTGAAACCAAAGTGTGGTCCCCAGATTGGAGGCATGAGCACAACTTGGACACGTACTGCTACCCTAAAATAGTGGAGTGCCAGGGGGGTCTCCGCCCACTGGCCAAGATGGCTACACATGGAGGTTCTTACACCGAGCACACCAGAAAGCTAGAGATATGAATGGCTAGGGCTCCAGATCCTGAAAAGCTATAAAGATGAATGGATATCGAACACCCCCGCCACACACACACACACACACACACATAGAGTGATAATTGGATTAGAAAAAAAAGTCCTCCCCTCTCTACTCCTGTAACAACTGAGGGCTTGAGCGATTTGAGACGGTCTTTGACAAGGGAGTCCACCATCCTCCCAGACTGTGTGGCACCTGAATAAATCTCTTCCCTTTTGCATCAGCACCTGTCTCACAAGTTTGGCTTTTTGTGGCAACAGGGAACCGAGCCTCCGTTTTTTGTTCGGTAACACTATTAGAAATGATAATTCTGCCCCAGCTGATGTGGCTCAGTAGATTGGGTGCTGGTCTTCAAACCAAAGGGTCACCTGTTCAATTCCCAGTCAGGGCACATGCCTGGGTTGCAGGCCAGGTTCCCAGTAGGGGGTGCACAAGACGCAACAACACATTGATGTTTCCCTCTCTCCTTTCCTTCCTCCTGTCTAAAAATAAATAAATAAATAAATAATCTTTAAAAAAAAAAGAGAGAGAGAGAGAGAGAGAGAAATGAAAATTCTTAAGCCTCACCACAGACCTCCTACATCAGAACGCCTGGAGGTAGGGTCCAGTGACTCCGTGTTTTAACAAATCTTCCAGGTTGTTCCCATACATGCTCAGGTTTGAAAACCATCACCTTAGAGACTGCTGGGAGCAACTTTACATACAACCAGACATAGAGTCTGGTGCCTGGACAACTTCATGGAACAGACACTTATTAATCCTCTAATTTCTAAAGAGTAAGAGATAATTCCTCTCTTAATTCATAACCAAACTTTAATCCTAATGCAGGTGGGTGCGGAAGAGGAAATGATGAGAATTGTAACCAGGATAACAGCAACCAGGAAAGAAATAACATCCAAGTGTAATAAGTAATAAACAGAAAACAAGATGCAATGAATAAAATCAAGAATATCCAATATGCAAACAGTCTGAATTCTCTAAATTCTCTGCCAAAGACACAAGCCACCACTTTCAGTTTGTTATCATCTTTGCAATCCTTTTTCCCTCCCCCAGTCATGTGCTGATTACAAGAGAAACTTTTTTTTATAACTGAGAAAGCCTCTACCATCCTTTCTTCTGCCCGCACACCAGTCATGTGCTGATTACAAAAGAAACATTTTCTTTTTTAAGTGAGAAAGAAAGGTTAATATTTAAGGGTTGCACAAAAACATATTAGATAAACACAGAGAAAAACCAGAAGTGAAAATATTAACATTAAAAATATGGAGAGGACTTTTCAATAATCCTGCCTCAGCAGGCCGAGGGCTTTTCCAGCCATTTTTCTGTCGTTTGCCTTTATCTGGAAAAACAGACCTTGGAAAACTACTCACTAGGATTTCATGGTACGACACAGTTTAGCCAGTTCTTTTTAACAGTTTGTGCAACTTAAAATATCACATAAAACAGAACCTAAGACTTGGGGGTCCAAGTCTTTACATCTGACATTTGGCCCTGGGTCCTTTTTGTGTACTAGCTATCCATTTTGTCATGTCCCCTGGGGAACAAAGAAAGTCCATCCTTCTGCTACAAATGAGGAAGGAAACAGTAATTGCTGTGAGAGCAACTGGGCCAAATCTTTGAACATAAAGGAAGCAGGCTGAAACTGCAAAGGGAGAAAAAGAGGTACACAGGCCTGGCCCTGGGGTTTGCATGCAAATCTCATTTTATCCATCCCTCCTAATAATCTGTTTTTCAGGGGAATCACTGGGACAATCAAGGAAGGAGCTCACAATAATGGAGAGCTGAGAAACAGGTCGGGGAGACCTGATTACTACCTACTCCACAGCCTGAATTAAATCTAAAGGGGCATGAATGACCCCCACTGAGACTGACGCCTGCCTCTAAATTTCTGAGCCTCTCACTCACTTATTTATTTTATAAATAAGTTTTATAAAATACACTTATTTATTAATTTTAGGACTGTACAGAAGAAGGGATTCTTCCAGATCCTTGGCAATATATTCTTCTGAACAGACAATATGGAATTTATGGCCAAAGGCCAAAAGCATTAAATAAACCACAAATGACATACGGTACAATTCACAAAGATAAGCTTGATACACCTGCATACGTCAAACATGAAGGCCAAATTCATAAAGCTAGAAAAAAATATTAGTAGAGTTTGACTTTAAAAAAAAAAGATATAGTGAGACTTTTTGATACACTTCTTAGTCAGTACCTGTCAGATCAGGCAAGCTGAAGTTATCTGATAACTCTAAAGTTATGCCCCACAGAGAATACAGTCTTCTTTCATGTCCATGAAACCTTGCAACATTTATCATATAGCTGGCCACAAAGAAAATCTTAATGCAGCCCAATGAAAAGAGATTTTGCTGATCACATTCACTAATTATGACCCAATGAATATCAGTCAATATAAATTATGACCATACCCCACCCTCACAAAATTATTCAGAAACTCAGAATCCCATCTTGTAGATAATTCTTGGATCAAACTTATTTACATAATGATTAGAAAGCAACAGAAAGGTGACCATTTCATACAAAAGCCCATTAGCTAGAGCTATACTCAAAAGAAAATGTAGAGCTTTATATGCTTTATAAAGACTAAAAATAACCCTGGCTAGTGTGGTTCGGTGGATTGAGTGCCAGCCTGAGAACCAAAGGGTTATCAGTTCGATTCCCAGTCCAGGGCACATGCTTGGGTTGCGGGTCAGGTCCCCAGCAGGGGGCTGCGAGAGGTAACCACACATTCATGGTTTTTCTCCCTCTCTTCCTCCTTCCCTTCCCCTCTCTAAAAATAAATAAAATCTTTTTTTTAAAAAAGGCTAAATATAAATTAATCAATTTATATATTAAAGGTAGCACAACACAATATAGATTTGGTAAAGCCAAAAGAAGAAATGAATAAAAATAAAGGTTGAAATTAACAACCAGCAAACACAGATACAAAAAAATAGAATACAAAAAAATTCCTTCTCTCTCTCTGTCTCTCTCTCTCTCTCTCTCCCCCTTCCTCCCTCCTTCTATCTAGTTATATAAATTCAGCATATCCAGTTAGAATCCCATTCACAACATCTAGCAAAGACATATTACAAGTAATCTGTCTCTGATTTAGAAAACTTAACGTCATAAAAATGTCAACTTTTCCTTAAAAATAAATACATTCAATGACATTCCAATTAGAATCCTATAGGTTGTTTATTCCAACATTGTTCCAGGTTTTAAAAATGGTCAATGGTCTCAATACCCATCAACAAAGGAAAAGTTGAATAAATATGTTGTTACATCTGAGCATTACATATAGACCTGCTAGTGATGTAGAATAGTAATCCAGAGTTACTGTCCATCATAAAAATAATAGAAAGCACAAGGTACAGAGTAGGATATACACTATGACTCCATTTGGTGAAACATGCAAAGTTTTACAGGTGCCTGTGTCTCTGTGACATGGAGAGAGGTGGGGGAAGGAAGGAGGGATCCTTGACTGCAGGGCATCCACACTGCTAACTTCTCAGGAGAAATGGGAATAGAATGAGTTAAGGAAACAGAAACAACTACCCCTCAAGGCCATCCTCCTCCAGCCCCATCCAACCTTTCTCCTCCCTTTCAAAGCCCACATCTTCAAAGCTTGCCTATACTTAATAACCCCAGATCATGACCTCCTGCTACTCCCCTTTCCCATTATCCCACAAAAGCAGTGCCAGCTAAGGTAACCAGTCTCCTCCACATCCCTTCCCACAGCGGCGATGGCCACTGCTGGAGCAGACTCACCTAGTTTCCGGGTGGGCCAGTGTCTAGGTTTTCCTTCCCCCTTCTGAACTGCTCTTTTTCTGGCTCCTTTACAGGCTCATCTTTCTTTCTTTAATTAGCTGTTCCAGGTGAGTTTCTCATCTCCCCTTGCCTCTGACATCAGTTACAACCTAACACAGAGTTTTCAACAAGTCTCACCACCCACTTCCTAAAAATAGCCGTGACCTTTTAGGTGGATACAAGCTCACATCTGCTATCACCAGCCTTCCCCACATACTCACCCTCTTCCCCAGAGATGCCACTCCCTGGGCTTAATCTGCCATATGCTCCCTCCACCTCCCTGTTAACAGCCTAATTTCTCTTCTCTCTGATTGCTCTCATAGCTGTGTTCCAAGCCAGCCTCTCCTCATGCTCCAGGTATAAGAGGCTTGGGACACCTGACTTCCCTCTCAATTTCAGGAGTAATCCCTCCCTTCTGTTCTGCCAAAGCAGTGGGACCTTCAGGAGCACAAGCCCCTGGAAAACCAGACACTAAGTGATCACAGAGCCAGGCAAAAGCCACCGGTACATGTCACTCCCAGCTCCCAGGTTCCTTGCAGTAACACATCCACAATACCACCACTATCATCACCACCCCCTAATTGACCTCAAACCCCTTCTGCAAACATCTTCTTACTGCAAACAACCATTTGAGGAGGTAGGCATTTTACCATCCAGAACTCTGGGAGCCTGAGTGGTTGGTTACATGGCTTGTCCCAGGTCACCCAACACAAATGAGCTCAGTCTCATCTCCTTGGTTGCTCTCCCTAAATTCTCTCATCAGTGTAGCATGGTCAGCTGTGATTCGAGTCACTGCAGGCTGTACTGTCAGGATCTCCCCACCATATGACATCAAACCTTTATTTCAGGGTTAGGGCCAGCAAATCAAGTGTATCGCTTCAGTGGTTATTTAGATATGCCAGCGAATTTCAGCAACTCTTTTTAAAAATGCAAATTTCCACCAAGGAAACTTCAGCTTCTTCCTTTCCCCTAAGACCTTTCCTATCTAGGTATCACTCAAATTCCTGATGTTCCAGGGACATGTGATCAGAGGGTGTTATGAAGAAAAATCCACAAAAACCTGGGTTAATTTGCTTGGCTATGACTGTGAAGCACACACACATACAGACTCTCCCCCAGGCAACCCACAAAACAAATGCCAGGAACTGCTTCAGGCTTACAAGGAGACGGCAGCTGCGAAAGGAAGGCGAGAGAGCTCCAGAAAGGCCCAGCCCCTCTGAACATCCAGCATGCGGCACAGATTTCATTTCTACATTCACCTCCTGCCCACACGAGCCTTTTTTCTCTCTCTCTGTCCTGCAGTGAATTCTCAAAATGAATCACACTAACCTATTTTGGTGCAATTTTCACTCCTTCATCCCAAACTACCCAACCTCCTCAAAATCATGTGACCAAGGCATCACCAATCAGTCTTGGCCTTCTAGGAACAGCAATCCAGGATGTGCCCTGTCTGTCACCGTTGCCCTGGCTACATAAAGGAGCCAAAGGACTTCCAGCTCCTATTCCCACCATGTAGTCTGGACTCATTTCCCTCTCAACATCTAATATCTTAACAACAGGGAACCTTTACTTCCCTGGCCTGCCTCTTTCACTCAGCCAACATCTACTGAGCACCCACATTAGGCAAGGCCCATCCTGGGTGCTGTAAGATAAAAGATAAGAAACAGCCCTCACCCTGTAGAGTCAAAGAAAGGGACAAAGATAAGACATGAGGCCATACAAATACTACGAAAGGCCAGTACCAAGAAGTGGGTCAGTGCCAAAGCTTTGTGGGCTCACAGTATATCTTGTTCCTTCCTACTGGGAGCAGGCACTTGCATGGCTCCCAGGAGGGTGGTGAATAATGGGTAGAAATGAGGGGAGGAGGGCATGTCCAGGAGGGTGGAATAACATGGAACAGCATGAGCTAAAACAGAGGGACAAGCCTGAAGAGTAGTTCAACTCAGCGGGACTTTCAGCTAAATAAAGGGATTGATAGCTATTACAGTTATATTATTTTCACTGTAACAGGTGATTACTTATGCACAGGCCTTGCTGTGAGCTTTATGTCTAATCTGGGTGACACCCACCAGTATGGTATAACAGTTATACCAGGTCACTTGCTCAGGTCACTGCCTGACCTGTACCATTGTTAAATACACTCATTTAATCCTCACGATCACTCTGTGAGGTAGGTATTGTTAACACCCCCATTTTAAAGATGAGGAAAGGCAGGAGACTAGTAAGAGACAAGATTAGGGAGGGATGCGCAAGGTGAGGACCCAAGGCCAGGGCAACAAACTGCCCTGGCACCTCACCTAGCCACTCTCATCAGGGAACACATTACAGAACACAAAGTGCCTTGAAGGAAGGGTACCTGTTAATGCCCCTGGAATTCCCAACGATTAACTGAAGCAAGGAAGGAATGAAGAAACTTGTGAGCCAGTTAAGGATGAGCAATGTAACAGGCTCTGCCTGACCAGCTCCTGGACTCAACCTGGCACTGTCCTGCAAGCTTTTGTTCCTATGTGTGGTCAGGGCAGAGGCTCATCCCTCACACTGCCACTCCATGCCTAGGTCAGGGCAGCAGGGACCAAAGTGAAAGGACTGGAAAGAGAGCAGAAAGGCTAGCTACCTTTATACCCAGGGTCTGTCCTAAACACCCATCTCCACAAAATGTCACTGATTAGAGGGGTGGAGACAGAAATGTCCCAGGCAGACTGTTCCCCGCTTGGGCTAGTACAGGCTAGCTTAACTTCTGCCCTCCAAAGTTTTTGGGTGAGGAACTCCACAACTCTCCTTCAAGACACAGACCCAGTTTCTACCTTTTTAAGCCTTTAAGGGACAGAGTTGAGGCCCCAAGGAAGATAAAAGTCCAAGAACCCCTCCCTGAAACTGGCCAAGGCTGGAGAAGGTGAAAAGGCAGAGAAGGTGAACAGAGCACCCGGGGTGAAACCTGCATTCTTTCAAATAAAGTGCCTTACAAATAAACTCCAAAAGCAGCAGCTCCCAGCAACTTGCGTCCCCTCAGTTCCGGAAGAAAGCCCCTTAAGGCAGCCTCCTCTACCAGCTATTTCCTTAGTATAAGACTTTCCCGGAAGGGCACACACACCCTCGAAAACTAAGCTGGGTCGGAGGCGACGGGGCCACTGGTCCACACCAGCCAGTCGCCTTCTGGTCGCAGGATCACCCGGTCCCAAGTCGACCCAGGCCCACTGTCCCTGGCAGCGCAGCGCAGTCACGTGCCCCTTGCCATGGGGATCCACAGGGAGGGCAGCTCCCAAAGCTGATCCAGCCAAAGCAGAGATGCAAGTAGATGGAACCCGCCCCAGGCCAGTTGGACACCGCCCCCTACCCCCACGCTGTGCAACCAGGAAGCCGCAGGGCGGGCTAGGGACCCTCACTCACCTAGCCACTGGCCACGGGGGCGAGGAGCCACAAGGGGCGAAAGGGGACGCGGACAGCAGCGGCTATCACTGCGGACCTCCCGGGCGCGGCTCCTCCGTCTGCACCTCTGTCCCGCTCGGGTTCTCCGGGCACCACAGCAGTCAGGGTGGAGCGGGAGGAGGAGCCAGCAGGTCGGAAAACTCCGAGGGCGCCTCGGGTCGGCTCGCGGGGCGTAGCCACTTGCTCCAAGGGCGGAGCCCGAGGCCCTAGGGGCGTGGTCTGAGCGCAGCACCGCCCCCAGGTGTGAGCCATCTTGGGCCAGCTGACCCGGAACTGCCTCCTGGAGCTTGAACGAGGAAGCCGAGACCTTCCGGCTCTTAGGGGCCCAGGGATGGACTCCGCGGAGATACCCAGGTCTGCGTGGAGCTCTCCCACCTCTGCAGATCAGTGCCGCCCTGCCCCCACCACTCTCCGGGAGGGGATTCCCCAAATCCCCTCCAGGCCCCGGGTACCATTGTTAGTGACTCTCTAGAAAGTTAAGAAAACTTTCTACGTTAGTAAGGTCACACAATAGTACGGGATTGGGGAGAATAGCTTTATAGTGGAGAAATCTGACAAACTACCTCAGCCAGGTGTTGAAGGTCAACATCTTGAGTGAATAGGGCTTCAATATGGCCCCCCCCAGGGGAAGGCGAGAGCCAAAGTCCAAGTCCAAGTCCAGGCTCTAAATCCCTCATGGCATCCTAGCTCAGAGTTCAGGAGATGGAGGCCCAGGGTCTGAGCAAAGCGGGCCTCAGCCAGAAAGGCAGTGTGGACAGGATGAGCTTGTGCAGCTGCTGAAAGAAAAAGTTTTTTTTACCACCAGTTCCTGTACTGGCCACAACATCCTCCTTCATGGGAGTATAAATGGCTTTGAGGTTCAGAAACAAAACTGTTGCTGGCTATTGACTACATACAAACCTTATGTGAAAAATGCTATGATTGTAGCTCTGAAAAAAGCGAATGATGATGTCATTGTGAAATTTGAGCCTGTAGTTGCAGAGATGCACAGATTCTGCATTTAAGTGGCGATAGATTCTGGTTTCAAGAACTCTGGCCTACCAGTGGGAAGAGAGGATAGACTATGTCGGGTGGCCGGAGCACACTTGGCTAAGTTCCATTAAGCCCTAAGGAAAAACTGATGGTAACAGAGGAATATATAGACTTTCTATTAAAGATAGTAAATCAAAAAGTGGAGGAAAATAAGAGAATTGAAAGGTTTTACAGCTGCCTACAACATGCTTTAGAAAGAGGAACTATTACTAACTCACATCCCAAAGAGAGGTAATGAGAAAAATCATTCGTATTCTCATAAGTAAAAAAGAAACTGAGAGAAAGTATGTGGCAAATGTATCACTGAAGAAAATGATAAAGAACTTGAAAATGAGCCCTGACTGGTGTGGCTCAGTCAGTTGGGTGCCTGGCAACGTGAAAGGCTGCCAGTTTCATTCTCGTTCGGAGCACATGCCTGGGTTGAGGGTTCAGTCCTGGTGGGGTCACTGGAGGCATGTAAAAGAGGCAACCGATGGATGTTACTCACATGATGTATCTCTCCCTCTGTTTCTCCCTCTCCCTTCCCTTCTCTCTAAAAAATAAATAAAATCTTTTTTTTTTTTTTAAGAATTTGAAAATGATGATCCAGGAATCACTGTTACTATCTTCCCTGAAGATTACTAAGCTCTGGTTCTAAAGTGTCTGGTAGAAAAATGTTTCTAATAATTTTTTTTTTTTAGATTTTATCTATTTTTAGACAGGGGTAAAGAGAGGTAGAAGGAGAGGGAGAGACACATCAGTGTGTGGTTGCCT